AACTTGCTTATGGGCCAATCTGATTGGAGGCCCATCTCAGTTAAGGTTCTTCTTCCCAGGTAACTATAGCTTATGTCAATTTGACAAAATACTAGCCTGCACAGTTCTTTTATACTTTGAATTCAGAATTATATCACTGAATTTTTGACTCCTAACACTTGGGTCAGTATTGTCCCCTTAAAATTCTGAAAGGTTAGCAGTAAACCAGTGTTGGTATAGGTTAACTATAAACATTTCTCTCAAATTTTATTTATGTGTATTTGGGTATGTCTGCTTGTCTGTATGGAACCACATACTCCAGAAAAGTGCCTTAGATACATTGGAACTGGAGTTACTAGGAATCATACCTGGGTCCTCTGCAATACAAGCAAGTACTCAACTGCTGAGCCATCTCTTTAGGCTCAGAATTCTCTTGAATGTTTTTCCTATGCAGAGTTCCAGACTGACCAGTATTAATTTTATATACTTTAGGTTGCCAAATTACTCATATACTGTGTAATCTAATCCAAATGGTCTGGTAGCATAATATTGCCCATGATTTTATTTTTAGCCTCCTTATGTAGAAAATCCATAATTTTGGCCTGCTTCTTATCTATATACATAATAAGTAGATGTAGATTCTCCTAGAGGAAGCAAAAGAAAGGGCTTAGTCTAATGCATCTAGACTGCAATAGGGATATAAACTCAAGTATAGAATATAAATAATGACAAACCTTCCATTTTATTCAGTATAGTTTCAGACATACTGCTGATATTTCACATCGTTCTGTTAGAACTGAGTGCTTGTAGCAACATGGCATATGCTACTACAAGGGAACAGTGGATTACAAGAATTGATTGTTCTCTTAGAAAACAACCGTAAAACCAAACAGTTTCATCTCTCTAGATGGAATCAAAGTAAACTAGCAGTTTTGCTTATGAAAACTTGGGGTTTGAATAGTATAAATTGTGGTATTCTTGTTCAAAATGAAAGAAAATTGCAAAGGAGATTGAAGATGTCAGTGGAAATAAAACTCAGTTAAGATTGTAAAAGACCAGAACTTAAAAGGCAGTTCTCTATGGTCACGTGTGCGCGCACACACACACACACACATACACACACACACACAAACACACACACACACACGGTAAATTAGTCAGTTTTTGTTCATCTTTTAGTTTTTTTTTTTCATCTTTTAGTTTTATAAGCTCATAATATCTCGACATCAAGGAAGTTACTTAGTGAAGTGGTTGAGATCCTGACTGGTACATATTTTGTAGTTAAAAATGAATACAGGATTGCTTGGGCAGCATTGTGAAGTACTAAAAAAATGCTTACAAATTGAAGGTCAAAGACCATTTATCATTAGGTTTCTCACATGTGAAAGGAATTTTATTTTCAAGTGTTTCCCCATCTGTGAAGTGGATATCACCAAGAGTGTATGTTTTTCAAAAGTTAGACAATGATCTAGTTAACTTTTCTGTTGTGGTAAACACTATGGCCAAAAGCACCTTACAGAAAGAAACAGTTTATTTTCATCTTACAGGCCACAGATCGTTGTTAGGGGAGTCAGAACAGGAGCACAAGGCATGGGCTAGCATGGCACTGCTTACTGGGCTGCCTTCTTGTTGCTCCTCGCTCGTGATATGCTGGTTATTTTTTGTTTTTTTTCAGATGGTGTCTCTGTGTTGCTTTGGTGTCTATCCTGGACTAGCTCTTGTAGACCAGGCTCTTGAACTCACAGAGATCCACCTGCCTCTGCCTCCCAAGTGCTGGGATTAACGGTGTGTGCCACCACCACACAGCTCGATAGGCTAGCTTTTTATACAACCCTAGTCCACTTGCCTAGGGATGTTGCTGCCCAGAGTAGGCTGGGTCTTCCCACAGCAATCATCAATCATGGCAATCTTTCCCAGGCATAGCCACAGATCAATCTGACTTGGGCAGTTCTTCAGTTGAGGGTCCCTCATTCCAGATGACTCTAGGTTATACCAAGCTGGCAATAAAAACTAATCAGCACTCTGTTACAGTTGTTAATGCTGTATTATAGCTGTAAATTTGCTTTGGTAGTAAAACTTACTGCTTATGAAAGTTCTCCCAAAGCAAGCCTAGTTTTGAGAAGTTTTTTTTTGTGACTTGTCTTTGTCTATCCCTGAGTCATTTATGTGAAACTGTATATGGGCAGGCATGTGACTGTGTAGGGATCAATTTGCTTTTACTCAAAGTGTAGAATTTTTCTGTGAAGATACTTGATCTTGTTATAATCTGTTTTAAATCAAAACTAGTAACAGCCTGAGATTTATGACCAAGTTCATTTTAGAAAAAAATAGATTAATTATTTAGGGAGAGGAGTGATATAATTCAACTCTTGTTAAATGTTTTATTCTCATCTGTTTACTTTATAAGATTTATCTCCTTTTTATATTAGTTCTCCAGTCAATACAGATAGATGGTGGTTGTATTAGTTTTCCTTTGCTATGCTAAAATACATCAGATAATGCACTTAAAAGGAAGGAAGGTTGATTTTGGCGCATCTTTTCAAACTTTTCAGTCCATGATAACTGGGCTCTTTGGCTTTGAGCCTGTGGTGTGTAACTCATCGTCCTGAAGCCTTGTCACCTCATAGTGGATGGGAAGTCAAGAAAAAGACAGGGAAGATTTGGGGTCTTTATCCTCGCAGCACACACCCCGTGACCTCACCTTTCCCCTGAGGATTAACTCTTAAAGCTTCCACAACCTCTGAGTAAAAGCCATAGTAACACCTATCGACCTTCGAGAAGACATTCTGGATCTTAACTATAATGAATTAAGAGAGTGGCCTGCAGAATCCTGTTTTTGTTTCATATTTGAGATTCATCACTTAATGCAAATGTGTTATGCTTTAACAACTTTTTTACCCCATGTCCATCCCTTGAAGTGGCAATAATAACAGTATCTATCTCACATTCTTTTGTTGAAAATCAAATGGAACAATAGCGTCTGTGGTGCTTTGTTGCTCAGTAAGCAGTTATTAGATTTAATGATAATTTTTATTAATGGTTGACACAGTCATCAAGCTGGCATTCAAGGTACTCTAAACTATGGTTAGAGAGTATGTGCTACCAGTCAGGGTATGCGCAATTAGAATATTTCAGCATAGCTAAATGTTTAAAATTTTGTCACCTACATTTGACATAGGATAAATTCACAATATAACAATGTTTCTTTACAAAAAGGATTGTTCTAGTGTGTTGCATGTTCCAAATGTCATTAACAAAAATAGAATTTTGTGGCTATATAGAGGTCTCTTTTTCCTGATCGCTCAATTCTGAGAACCATAGCTTCCAGTTCTAATGTAGTATCAAGATTCCTCTTCATTAACACTGTTTTCCATTAGGATTGTTAGAATATAATGTTAGCTTTGAACTGCCATTTTCTTCTTCTATAAAACAATATTAACACATCTTAATATATTTGTCACTACTTCCTACTGTTGAGCTATTATCTTCACACTTGATGTTAAGGACATAAGTAGTACTTGCAGAAGAAAATCTCCAGTAAAGTCTATCATGTTAAAATAAAAGACACTCCCAACTTCCATCTCAGTAGCACATGGAGAGTTACAGTTGTTTTCTAACTTTGCCAGAATTTGGTGTTTACTATTTTGTTTGCTGTTAATTTATGTTTTTTTTTTTTTGAAGAGGATAATGTTGAACATCTCTTCTGTTCACAGTGGCCATTTGGATATCTTATCTTTGTCCATTTGCTTCATTGAGTCTTTGAGTGCTTTCAATTTTTTTTTTTACACTTGCTGAATATATGTTCTGTGTCTTCCTAGAGTATAATTTGCCTTTTTACTTTTTTACAGTATCATTGCCTTTAAATTTTAATGTAATATATATTTATTGGTGTATATGCACGCTCACACGTGTGCACCTGCATCTGTATGCACACGCATGGATGTCTACATGTGCATACCGTCACAGGCTATTGAAGCTCACAGGGCAACTTGCAAGAGTTAGTTCTTTGCTTCAGTATACAGGTCCCATGGGTAGAAATCAAGTCACCAAGTTGGTGTCAGATATTCAAGTCCCAGTTTTACTATGGAATATCAATTCTGATAGCATGCCAAAAGGATGGGTTAGACTCTGACCTTTGTGGGTAAAGTCTTTTGTAGCAGATACTATTGAGAAATTTTAGTATAGCAATGACATACATACTTCCCAGGTTGTTTGACTTGAGAAATAAGAACCCTAGAGTTCTCCGAGCCCTCTGATGATTGTGCTTTCATCTTGGTGCAGTGTACCTGTGAGCAAGGAATCGCTGGCAGCAGACTTCTTGCTGATGAAAAGCTATGTAATTTTCCTGATTTTTGATTAGCTCTCTTTTTTATTCCTTCTCTTCTAAAAGTCCCAAGACCCTGAATCCCATCTCACTACTACCTTTTGAATTAGGATTTTTTCATTGGGAATTTTCATTTACCAGAGCTACTATGGATTTGAATTAATTCTGAGAAATAAAACGCTTTCTAGTCCCTGACACAAAACTGCCCACTCATTGTTTTAAAGATTTTATAGTTTTCTGTCTCATTATCTTTAATTAGTGACCCAAGATTGCGTATTCCTGATGTTTTTGATCATTGGGATTGGTAGACTAGTATAGGAAGCCTTTCAGATTTTGAGAAAGTTTCTCTGTCTGGTTTTTCTTAAGGCCCAAAGTAGAAAATGAATCTTTAGAGGAAAAAAATAACCATCTAGTTTTTAAAAAATCATACATTACATAGCTACTGTTTCTATTTCGAATAGAAGGTTGTTTGGGCATTTCATCACCGTAACCCAGGTAGATGACCTGCTGAAGAGAAGACTGCCACTTTTATATGAAGCAGTGGGATATGGGTATTAAAAGGCTGCGTTAAGGACAAGTTAAACACTAAGAATGAACACTGGGAGCAGATAGAAAACTTCTTTTTTTTTATGGTGAAAATGTGTATATTTAGAATTAGCCGGCTGGGCTCAGTTTAGATGATTCCGATCTTATTGGCAACATCCAGAGCATCATAATCAGGAGCCAACCGAACATACGCCTTCTTCTCTCCGTCGGGCCTTATGAGGGTGTTGACTTTGGCCACATCGATGTCATAGAGTTTCTTCACAGCCTGTTTGATCTGATGCTTGTTGGCCTTGACGTCCACAATGAACACAAGTGTGTTGTTGTCGTCTCTCTTCTTCATTGCTGACTCGGTGGTCAGGGGGAATTTGATGATGGCATAGTGGTCAAGCTTGTTCCTCCTGGGCGCGCTCTTCCGGGGGTATTTGGGCTGCCTTCGTAGCCGCAGGGTCTTGGGCCGCCGAAAGGTGGGCGATGTGCGGATCTTCTTCTTTTTGTGGCTGTGGACGCCTTTCAGCACTGCTTTCTTGGCTTTCAAGGCCTTCGCTTTAGCTTCGGCTTTGGGAGGGGCGGGAGCTTCCTTCTTCGCTTTCGGCGCCATCTTGACGAAAAGCTAGAAAATTTCTTTTGCCTTTCTTCCAAGGGACACCTTCGTTTGCTTTCCATGGGTAATGGGGTTAGAGAAAAGAGCTGTCTTCAGATACACTGGAGGCTCCTTTCCCATCAAAGGGAAAGCAAAGGACATTTTGAACAAAACCTGTATGAAGCTAGAGTGTTTTCTGTTTCTACACTATGTAAGTATGCAGCTCTTGTCATTATAGGGAGAATGAATATAAGAGCCTCCTGCATTTTGAAGCAAAGGAGGACTTTATGGAACAGCAGTCTTGCTATCATTTCACCTATGTCTAAAATGGAATTTGCAGTGTTTTAAGTACATATATTTGGGGAGATAGGTTTTTCTTTTATTGGATGCCTACTGGCTGTAAACAAGAACAGTATTATAAAAAAAATAACAGTTTGGGAAGCTATAAGTCTATATTGTTTAATTAAACTTTTTTTTCTAGGGTTAAAATCCACATAGAACAAAATGTTTCTGGTTTATTTTAATGTATCAGAGGCCATAAACAATTAATTAAGATTAGTAGGCTATAAAGATTTATTTTTGTAAATGGATAATTACAAATTACTTTAATTTGCAGGCATACCAAACTATTTTGTATAAACATTTTCAGTTTTCAGACAACACTAAAACATCGTTAATATTCAGAAAACACTAAATTTTATACTTATATGCTAATAAAATCTCTTATACAGTTTGAGATCTTACTTACTTTTTATTACAGTGAATAATTTGTCTTGATTTACTTACTAATTTTGATTTTTTTCTCATGAAAATTATGCTCTCCAGAAGAAAATTAAGTCATTTCAAACTAGAGTGAGAAACAAAAACATTACGAGAAGCTTACTTGTACATCTTTTGCAAGGCTATTGTATGAGAGATCCATAAGTTACAAAAGTGAAAACATGAAATCTTGATAGAAAGGACTTTAGTTATCCCCGTTTTGGTGGTTGTACTGTTTCCCTATTATTTACCACACGTAAAAATTTCCCCAATAAGTCATGTATTTTTAATTTGAGCTCGTATAGGTTCTAATAGTAATTACCTTATGCTTTTTGATGCCTGTTATTTACAGTACATATTTATATAATTTCATAAGACATTGTATTTTTACTATATATATATTCTTGAGAAAAATTAGTGCATTTTCCACTTCACTTTGTACTTATATTTTATCTAGTAGAAGCATAAAACTAAACTTATTCCAGATTTCTCAAGGAATCGTTGTTGATTGATGTTGCCATCTTCTCTATGACAGAAGTAATATTAGTATTAATTACATCTCCCAATCTGTTAGTAGTTCTTTTGTTAGAGATTGCCCATTAGATACTGAGTAATTTATGAAACAAAAATTTTGATTCATAAATCTTCTCATAAAGATGAGAAGGTCTAAAGTCTTAAGAATAGACAGCTCCGTCTTGTTTGGCCTTTGGTGAGTCATATCATGGAAGATCAAATACCAAGTAGGAGGCTGTGCAGGGAAGAGAAATTGCATGAGGAAACAAGAGTCTTCATAAGAATTAGGGTTCCATAAAAAGCACATTATTTTCTAAGTGGTGCAGTCATATTCCATGGCCCCCATCTTTTAAAGAAAGGTTCCTTATCAGCTCCCACTAAGCTCTGCTTCTTAAACACTTTCTACTATTTCTTTTTAAAAATATACTTAAATTGTTATGTGCAGACGTGTTTCATATGCATGTTATTTATGTATGTGCACCATGTGTGTGCCTGGTACCCATGGAGCCAGAATAAATCATTGGATTCCCTGAAACTGATATTACAGATAGTTGTGAGTCACTATTTGGTTCCTGTGACCAGAACTTTGTTGCAGGTGTTCATTCTGGGCCATCTCTCCAGTATACAGCGTATACTACTACTACTAACAGAACTGCACTAAGGACCAATTTTACAACACCACAGTAATTTAAGGATACATTTGACCAGTATTCTTATCCACACATTTGAACAATATTGGTAGCCTTTTAAGAATGCTTGGGAAGTTTTAAAGTGCATTATGCATAACCTAAAGTATGTTAGCAGTTTAGTAAGTTTTAGGTGATATTACTGTAAAGACTTTGTAAGTAAATCTGGAATGTGATTTCTTTAGGAGAATATATTCAAATGTAAATTTATGTTTAAATGAATAAAAGATAACACAAAGTAAGATTAAATACATAAAAATATCCTTATGAAACCTTATGCACAATGAGTAAATTCGAATGAAAAGTATTAAATACTAATAAGATTTGATTGCCTTTACCACCATTGTGATGTATAATTTCGAATATTTAGTAATGTATAAGCTTGATTTCTTCTTTATGAAGGATAGCAATATAGAAATTAGTGCAGCCTCTATTTAAGATATAGTGATGCATGCCTTTACTCTCAGATACAGAAGGCAGGCAGGCAGGTCTCTGATTTTGAGGTGTTCACAGTAAGCTCTTGTCTAAAAGGAAAAACAGAAATAAAAGGAAAGTTTAAGTTTCAGGTTTGACAAGTTCAACAGTATCTATCTGAAATATTTTTTTTTACCGAAGTTTCTTTTTTAAGAGCATTATGAAGATAAGATCTGAAGCAATCTGACAAAATTTAGTCTACCTGCTTACCAGCCGCCCCACCAAATAAAACTGCAGAAATTAAGCCTTTGTGTTGTACGTTTATTTCTCATTTTCAATCATCTTAGACTTAACAACTTGTGCTAAAACATTATCTTCTATTAAATCTTTTGAGAAAAAAAAGGAAAAACAGCATTGGTGTTCACTTTTGCTTTCTTCTCTCTTCTCTCCCCCAAAGCAGATTGCCAAACTGAGGCAGCAGCTACAACGCAGCAAGCAAAGTAGTCGTCACAGTAAAGAGAAAGATGGGCAGTCACCTCTCCATGGTAACCACATAACAATCAGTCATACTCAGGTAGGCGAGTTGTTCAGATTTTATTAATTCCTCTTAATGGGAAACCTAGACTATAACCAAAGTTTCATCTTTACTGAATTACTATTTTTGTAACACATAACAGAGTATAGTGGCCTAAGAATATTTCCTTGAACTGAAATGAAGTCACAGGAAATGTGCTTGCTGAAGAATCCTTCTAGTAGCACCTTAAAGTGTCAACTTTGTATTCCAGGCAATTTGCATTTTATTTCATATGAAGAAATTTAAAACTAGAGTTTTTTTCCCCCCAAGAAATTTGTGCTAACATATCTTACTGAACAGATCTGAAAAGTGCTGCCATGAAGTGATGAATCTTAATAACTTAAATCTGATATCGTGACCAAGTAGTACATTTGATAGGGATAATTCAACATTAGGACATATTAATATAACTTACTACCTCAGAAAGCCAAAACATAGAAAATGCATCAGATTTTGCTTGATATTGATAAAATTGATTTGATAACACTTGATATAGTATCCTTTTGTGGTTACTAAAATTTTTATTAAACTGAAAATAGCAAAACTTCCTATTGCTATTAATTGTATGTCTCCTAAGATCAGATTGATTAATATCAAGATAAAGATGATCACAAAGGTCTACATTTATTGGCATGCTACATAAGGGACTAAGAAAGGCATCACTAATTGTATATAACATTGTATATTTAGAAAATAAGAGTGAATTAGCTAGACTATTAGAACTAATTATGAGATCATTAATATGGAAAATACTGAGAATGTAAAGCAAAAGAGCAGCTGTGCATTGCTATTAGGAGGACACAGTAATATAACCACTTGGCAAGCATATACTGACCATTATCTCCAGTATTTCTCCCTTCAAGTAGCCACTAGACATTAAAACATATCTGCATGAGTGCTTGAGGAAGTACTATTCGTGATAATGAAATAATAACAAATATTCTCTCACTGATTAGACAGATACTTTACATAACCGTACAGTGTAATGGTATTCAACAGTACAATGGAAAGTAGCTAATAAATATGACAGCAGAATTGGATTTCAAAACCATTTTGCTAAGTGAAGGAAGGTATGAGTAAAAGCTGTGTAATGTATGATATGTTGCATTAAAATCCCAAGGGATAATTATATAAACTAAGTATTAGAAATAGGAACTGAATGCAGAGAGGCCCCAAAGAATATTTTTTTAGTAATGGAAGACTCTAAATGTGACTATACCGGTAGTTGGATTAGCCAAACTCAACTAACTGCATGTTTAAAATGGGTGATATGTTGTACCTTGATCATACCTGATCAGTATTATACAGCAAACTGGTATGCTCTACACATCCAAAGTGGAGTTGTGTGTGCTTTCCTTTTTCTTCTTAATCTTGTGGAATTAATATATTTGCTAGTTTTTTTTTCAAGCACTATCAGTATTATCTTATTATCTCAATTAAAATCTTAGAAAAAGACTAAGAGCAGATCTCTGTGAGTTTGAGGCCAGCCTAGTCTACAAGAGCTAGTTCCAGGACAGGAACCAAAAAGCTACGGAGAAACCCTGTCTCAAAAAAATTAAAAAAAAAATACTAAGATGATTAAATTTGCTTTTAATTTTTTGGTGTCTGGTTATTCATAGAAATTACTTTTGTCAATGAAGTATGAAGTCTAGTTTAGAATGCTTTAAAGTACTCTTAATAACAAAAATACCTAAATAGAATAAATTAAAAATTGACAAATTTTGATAACTTACACTTGCTGATATACATATATACTCACACCAATATTCTAATTATGCTTATGATTAGAATTTTGCATGATAACTGAAGTTTAGTGAGATAATTAAAAGTATAAACATAAAAACTCAATAGTCTTATAATGTGTTAATGTAAAAAATATAAAATCCCCTGCCTCTACCTCCCGAGTGCTGGGATTAAAGGCGTGGCACAGGTCAGGAACCAAAAGCTACGAAGAAACCCTGTCTCGAAAATCCAAAAAAAAAAAAACAGAAAAAAAAATAAAATCCCACTAATATGAATTAAAAGAAATATGCCAGTTATACATGTTTATTGAGGCTATAAAATGAAAAGTAGGGAAAATTGATTGTTTTAACCCATTGTTGATG